TGTGTGTGTGTGTGTGTGTGTGTGTGTGTGTGTGTGTGTGTCAAAATCACAGATAAAACTGAATGAAAGGTAGCAGAGAGAAGGAAAAAAATCTAAAAATACACATTTCTTGTAAATATAATCATTGTTTGTGTGTATGTGTGTAGGTTTTTTTCAGTGGATATAAATGTAATGTGCATTTTTATGAAAAACAAGAGAATTGTCCTCACTGATCTTTTGTCTGTGAGAAACAAAATAAACATCAATGCACAAATATTGATTGAAATGGTTAGTTATGGAGTAAACAATMAGATACAAAAATGTTTTGGTGGGTTTCTTTTGATTTCTGACATCACTGCATGGTTAAACCTTCCCCGGGTCAAGTTTACACAGGAACATTATTTCTGTTCCTCAGAAATGAACTGTTATGAATCCTTCTAAAGTGAAGACTTCTGTATTACTGCTTTTTTAAAATTGTGTTTAGATTAAGAGCAATCAACATCTTACCTGTTGTAGATACTCTCTGACTGGACCCAATTTGGAGAAAAACATTAACACACCTTCATAAAATACAGTAAGTATGATATGAGTGTTTAGACAAATAAAAAAAATGATACAGTTGATGTTACAGATCGAAGCGTTGGAATCAGATGCCGAGGTCCRGACCGGGTGGGTGCTTGACAACTTTCCCGTCAACATTTATCAAATGGAGGCCTTASAGGAAGCTGGAATCCTGCCAGATTTCATTTTCTGTCTCAAAGACGGTAATGGACATCAAGGTAATGGGATAAATATTTAGTAGGCTGATGAAATTACTGTAAAACAGATTACAACTGCTTTTCTACAGTCTGTAAAATGATTATCTTTTCATTATCAGATCAGTCTGACAGCTCCACTTCTTCAGCTCCCAATTTATTCAAATGTGAGTCATATGAACATCGCAAACTGGACTTTGACGAGAAATTTAAATCCGTTTTTAAAGAACAAAAGCTCAAACACAAACTGCCTCACTTAAACTAATCTCTGCTCGTTGACCTAAAAACGATTTAAAGTATGCTCACGTCTCCTTCGTTCTGTGTGGTTGAAGCTGTCGCGTCGCACGATGACTTGGAGCTGGGCTCTCCGGACGTCCCAGAGATGGACGAGTATAAACGGCAGACGCAGCAGTTTGACGGGGAGCTGGATCAGATGCTGTCGGCTTTAACAGACAAACACTGTGTCGTGGAGATTGGCAGCAAAAGCCCCGAGAACTTGCTTCAAGACATGATCCTACACATGGAGAGTGAGTGTAAAAGGTTGTGTTTTGTGTACATTTGTTTATCTAGACATATTTTTTAAAGGCATAAGTTGTTTTCAGATTTTTTTATTGAATGTACTGTAGCTCTCTGAGAATTTGACATTCWAATTTTTCTTGTGTAAGAWTATTTCGTGTTCATTAACTGAAATYGTSACRAAACMACATAAATATTGAATAGATTAAAATGTGAAGTGAAYGGAACCATACAACACGGATCTGGTTACGAGCGAAGCTTTTATTGCTCCCGGCTGGAGTCAGCAAAGCAGCGCTGCCTGAAACCGGAAGTTCCGGTCTTTAAATACAGGGATCTTCAGTGCCTGGTAYGCCCACTACAGGCCTACGGCTGAATCTCAGGCAACTCRTACAGAAAATATCTTTCCTAATGAATTTATAAYGGTATTTCTATGTGTTGTCGTGATGTTTTGGGCATGTACCTAAAACTATTTTAATCAGGACATTAAATAGTCAAACAATAGATTATAAAAGTCAAGCCTTAAAAGGAAACTAAGACAAATGGTGTGGTTCATTAAATCAGTATCTAACTAATAGGGTTGCAACAATACATGTACCCGTATCGAACCGTATTGAACAGTGCTTTAAGTTCAATACACACTTGTATCGAACAATACAGATTTTTTAAATTTATTTTATCAGCTTCTCTTTTGAAGATGCTCTGTTTTAAAGGATCAGTGGATCTGTGTTCGACTACTCCACCTAGGCTGCATTTTTGCATGCAGATCTACTGAGAAACTTGCTGTTTCAGCAACATTTAATTTAAAAACTGTACATTTGAGGTTAAACAAATGTTCATAATTATTAAACAAATGTTCATAATTAATTCAAATAAATTACAAGTTAAAAGGGGCATGGAAATTTCTCTTTTTTGTATCAAAAAAAAATGTCGAACCGTGAGACTAAAGTATCGAACCGAGCCGAATCGTGAATTTTCTGTATCGTTGCACCCCTACTAATTAACTAAAAAATTCCTTCACTTACATGTGTGATCTTCAGAACCATTTCAGTATGTGGCCTCGGAGATGTCTTCCTTCGATCTGGATGAAGAAGTTGAAGATGCCGAGGCTTTGCAGGCATTTGAAGAAGCAGAAGAAGACAGCGGTGATGACTATGCCCAAAAGGAAACAAATGAGGTTAGCATGCGGACACTTCAGCTAAAGTTATAAACCTGTTTACAGCTCATAYTGTCTCGTTTGAAAATACTAACAAGAACAAACTTTTCCCTAAAGCAGGAGGACATCCAAATAGGCAAAAGATTGTTAGGCGATACCAAGCATTTCTGTCCAGTCGTCCTAAAAAACAACAACGTCCTGCGGCCGTGCACAGACGAAATAGCTGCAAAATACCGCGAGAGGACRTTCTACTTCTCCAGCCCGGACGCCAGAGACTCCTTCCTCCACAATCCTGTCCAGTTCGTTGCACAGACTGAGCCCCTTCAGGTACAGGCTGACAGAAAACCAGAAAGACAAAGCCGTGTTATCCTTACACAAGCAGAAACCCTCTCCCAYGTTTCCTTATTTCTCTTCCGTTTCCAGCCCCCCGCCTTGAGAATCCTCCTGCTGGGAGTCCGAGGGTCGGGCAAGTCGACTGTTGGCGGATGGCTCGCGCAGAGGCTGGGGCTGTTCCACATCCAGTTCAGAGAGCAGCTCCAAACGTGGATCGTCGCCAAGACGAAGGAAAGGATCCCTTCTGCCGATGAGGCGATGTTTGTGAAGGAGGAGTCTGAGGACCTGGAGGTCCTTATAAAAGAGGCCATGATGGAAGGAGRCCAACAGGTTGCAGCAGATAACTCTGACAACGTGATCGACACAAAGGTTTGTTTCTTCTACTGCATTTTTAGTACAACCTGATCTTTTATAAAGGTTTGATATACTAAATTTTGCTCATTTATTTTTGTGAGTACAGCAGGAGGTGTGTTTGACAGAAGAAGAAATGGCCATCAAAGCCTACCTATCTAGTGGAGATCCTCTGAGTCCAGAGATTCTGGATAGGGCTATCACACTTTTCTGGAAACAAGAACCATACAAGTAGTTATATTACCAAATCTATACATTTTTTTAAAGGGGCAATATTATGTGTTTCTCAGGCATATATTTAAATACTATACCATAATAAAGTATCTATGTCACCTTTAGC